AAAAAAAAAAAGTAGTACCTATCCCAACACTGAATATTAATAAGATACCTACAATAGGTTATAAAAAAATCTATTAAATCAGTATGAGACCCACTTTTAATAAACATAGGATATTACATACAACCAATAAAAAGAAAGTTAATAAGCTATATTTAATATCATTCATATATAATTAAGCAAATAATAATCCACAATAAACATTTAAAATTGTATATAAAAATAGTTAAAATTGTTTTTACATTTTTTTATTTTTTTTTTTTGTTTATTCAGTTCGAACTATGGCAGGATAAAAATTAACTAAATGCCTTTATTTTATTTTAATAATAAACAGATGGCAATGAGTAAATCTTTTGCAGCAACTTCTTGAGCATATTCAATGTCTTGAGCCTCACCCACACCATAAATAATAGGGTATACATTATTTATAGAAAGAAGATACAAATGATTATTTTTTTTTCCTTCTAATTCTAAATCTATAATGTTTGAACTTAAGCTCATATTACATTCGGTGACAACATCACATAAAACTTTAAAAGCTTCAGGTAAATCTAACATAMCATTTTTTTTAAATTGATTAAAAATATTATTTAATGTTTCTGAGCTTGAAAAATCTGTTGTTTTTTTAAAAAGCAAATGATAATCACAAACATTTTCGTCCATGGGCACATTTTTATTTAATTGATCTGATTTAATAATTTCAACTTGYTCCAAGACTTTCATTGAGTCTGATACACATTGGTCCACTTCAATTACCAGTGACTTATCAATAGACATTAATTTATTCACCATCTGAACAGCAGCCAAATGCTTRGCCTGTTTTTTGGTTTTGTGTGTTGCTGCTTCAGACATTTTAGCTACATGACAACTGATAGTAAATAATTTAGCATGGGCTTGTCCTTCTTCTCTAACTAATTTGAATTCAGGCAATCCCAGTTTATTATTTGTACAAATGTCATTCAATTGTCCAACAGCATTTACTTTAATGTTGTTATCAAATGGAGAGACAACRTGATTGTCAAAATCCCATTGTTTAAAATCAGTGTTCAATAATTCTGGTTTATCATCAATCATAATTTTAAGAAGATTTAATGCTGCCACATGCTTGGCTTCTTTTTTGGAAGTTCCATCGCCTACAGCAACATAATTATCCAGAGTCAGACTATACTTAAAGCTGACCTTACTATGTGAAACACCATTATGTATGAGATCATATTGAGGGACAAGGCGATTTTTGGCTGCATACTCTTGTACAATGGATGCTGGAGTTTTATTTAATGAACTTATATGTGAAGACTTATCTTGCAGATCATATGCCATAGCTTCAGTCATTTTCTAAAAAAAAATAGTTAATATTATTAACAAATTAACATAGTCATAAGCAATAACATATTAGGTACTAGTGTACTATATCAAATTAAAAATAAAATATTGATATTATTTTATGTATTATTTTTAGTAATAAATAGTAATCACCTAATGATTTCTAAAGTAATTTTGTTATAGTAAAATTGTGCCAATAAGCATACACAGACATTACTGGCATATAAT